TGTCCCGTTTTGCGCGCTTTTCCTATAGCGTGCTTTTCCGCATTCCTTAGTTTAGCTGTTCTCCAGTTTAAGAGCACTGCGTCGGAATGGAAAGGGTCATGGCGTCCCACATGAGTTCAAATTCTCCGAAATATTTCTGTCTCAAAATTATTATCGTAATCTGTCTCTCGAATGCACTAATCTTGAACACACGTGAAAAAAATCGAAATTTATGAGGTTGTGAACCCGGAAATTTCTGAAACATTTTTGCGGGATGAATTGCTGGTCGCATGAAAGCTCTAAAATGTTCTTGAATAAAAGCCTTCGGTATATCTGTGTTTCTTGAGACACGCGATGATTTCAGATTCGTTTGACTTGCAAATATTGTCGAAAGACTGATCTTTTGTCTTTTGTAGCACAGTACAGGATTTAAAAATAAATCCTGGTTTTAACGCATTTCAGCGTTCTGCACATTATTTCCTCTCGGACATTTAATGGGATCTTGCCAGTTCGATTTTTTTTTCTTCGTCCTTATTCGAGATTTTTTTTTTCTTTCAAAGAAGCAGGAAAGTCGACTTGGGGTTTTGCCGCGGATTTTCCGCTGACCGACTGATATTAGAAACTGGAGTTCCTTACGTTCGATATTTTTACGTGCTGGCTTCTTCAATCGGTTCAGAGAAGGAAGTTTTGAGCGTGGGAACGAATCCGTTTTACCGGTCCGGTGGAAAAGCGGGAGTCGAAAGGCTACACTGTATTTCGGCGGTATGGTGAAATCGTACTTGTCTGGCTTCACCTCTCGTTCCCGTCCCGTAGAAAAGAAAGGTGGGGGGTGAAATCATTTCGAAGGCTATGTTTTACCTTGCCTGTCTTTCTTTTATTTTCCCCCGCTACTGTTTCCGTCGGAATGTTATCTTGTGTCGCTCGTCGGCCGATGAAAACCTCGTTTCCCTTCCCTTCCGCTCGCCAGGGTTCCCCTCTTCTCCCCTTGAGCTCGTTTACAGACGTGAGGACGACGGGTTGTCGCTTGCCGGTTTTCCTTTGACCGCGTTTTTCGTGCCCCTAGTTTCGGATTTCCTAGAAAATCCCGGCCGTTACCGTGAACTTCGTCTGGCCCCAGAAACATCCGCTGTCGCGCTTGGCGACGACCTTGCGGTGTCGCTGAGTGACGACGACGACGACGATGAATAAAAGGCTTCCGTTGTGGAGCACGGAACACAAGTTTCGTCTCGCAAGCGTTCACTGAATATTCGAGGGACTCTCGCATTCCTGCCCTAAATTTTTAGGATGCTGTTCGAGATGCTGCTTTTTCCATGTTCAGTACGAGGGATGGTCCGTAAGTTGCGAGACTAATTAGGAGAAGTGAACCCATGATTTTTTCTTCTCTCGATATACAGTGCTTTTGTATTTTAATAAAATCTCAGCGCTAAAAATGTGTATCGCTTCGTACTGCGGGAAGGACTTCCTCATTCTCCGAAGAAATGAGGTTTCTGGGAAATTTCAAAGCTAGAAAACTTGATCGGGTATCCTTGGACGGTACCGTTATTGCGAGTTATTATTTGGAACATTGAAGTTCTTGGTAGGAAAAAAGAAATCTAGAACGCTTTCACAGGATATGGAAAAAAATCTTCGGAATCAAGTTCTGAAAAACTGATTGAAGCACGGTACAGTATCGTATTTTGTACTGCTTTTTATTCTTGTTGAGCATGGTCGAGTTACCTCCTCGTTCATGACCATTTCTGCCGATATCCTTCAATTTTTAATGAAAATGAATTCGTTCAATTGCGCAATTGCCCTCGCATATCTATCGAACTAAGCACGGAGGTCACGATTTAGCCTCTTTTTCGAATATCTTTTTGAGGTTCATGGGCGACGTGTTGGTGGAAGTTGAAGATGGATTGATGACGATTGCAGAAAATTGCAATTAGCTCCGTCAACTGCCAAGTTCCGTAGTCCAGAAACTTATGGTCCATCCCTCGTATACATTTTAAACTTCTGACGGAATGCAATAACATTTTCACTTGTGCATCCATGAGATCAGCATCAGTGGTAAACAGGAGGACTTCCTTCCACGCATTTGTTTAAAATTCAACGGAGCGATCGACTTCGCTTCTGTTTATCAAAGTTGGGTGTGATTCCGTAGTCTGTGATAATATCGACGGGGAAACCGATCGATCGATCGATCGGCCAGTGAGTCGAACATCTGTTGATGCGGAGCTTTTTCTCGAAAAACTTGCTCCTGGCTGTTTTTCGCTGAGGAATGATTGTGTTAATTTTAAGCTGTTTCTCCGGGCTGCAGTGTAGCGGAGGGGAGGAAGGAATTGAGGTTAATTCCTCGAAGAAGTTGGGAGATAATCGTTGGTTTGGGCCTTTCCGTAGAAATCGCGATTATCCTGCCATCACTTGAAGGTGCTAAAGGAACGGAACTTGTGCGTCGTCACGGTATTTGCAGAGTGACGATTGAGACCCCGGCCGCGTCCCGTCGGCTCTGTCACGCACCTGTCACCCGAGGATTGGGATTCCCACGATGCTCTTTATTTATTTCTTTATTCATTTCTCTTTTATTTTCCCCTTCGAGAAATGCTCGATTGGCTCACTGAAGTGTTAACTAGTTTTTGATAACCCGCATTGGCTGCAAACCGGATGCAAATGGGGAAGAAATGTCTCGTTTTCCGGCCTCCCGCGTTTGCCGGGTTTCTCTGAAAGTGAGACCAAGTCCCTGAGCGCTTTTCTGTAGGCACATTTTAATTTGAAACTTGGTTAGAACACTTAGAAGTCAACACATACGTTGCGGATAAATCGTTTAAATTTCCAAACTCTCGGTCGATGCTTACGCGTGAATTAATTGCCTTGAAAACCGCAAAGATTAATTTTACAGCGATGAATTTCACCTCGCCGCAGTTTTTCTGCGTGACCTATGCGGAGAAAAGATCCCCTGTCCCGGTTCTTGGAAATTATCAAGAAATAACAAACTTTTACTTACCTCAAACTTTCAAAAGACACAATTGGCCATCGATGATCCGCGATTTGATCAAGTGTGTACGAAGTTCAATTCGATCATGGGTAGCAGAGCCGGCTCAAATTGAGCCGCGTTATGACCTCGAATCGACCGTAATTTTATTTGAAAGTAAATCGCAATTATCGTGTTGAACATCGAGAAGGTAACGAACTGAACAGGGTATGATTTCATGAAAAGGAAATAACGAATTATCAGCGATGCATACTACATTCATTATTCATGTTTTTCGTCGTTTTGGAAATTCACCAGGAGAACTGTTCTTGAAAATTTTGATGGTTTCTCTTATGGAATATCTCAAGCTGTGCAATCGAGGCTATTTTCTGGGTACAGTAAATTTAGAGTATTATAATGATTGAAAGAACGGCGACGGACTTCAGTCTATGCTGGGCGTGGCTTTCTGAAGTTTGTCAAGATCATCAGAGCATACGGAGGTGTCCAGACCTCCTGTAAACTGTTTCACTCGGGGAAGATCTCCAGATGTTTTGATGATCATATGTTGAATAGACGCTTTCGAGATGCGTAAATGTGGGAACCCGGGCAAGTGTCGCAATCCCAACTTTTGGGGGGAAGCTGGTCAAGTGAGTGGCTGCTAGTGGATTCAGGCCCCCGTAAACGGCGCTCGGGTTTCGCAACGCCGCCGGGTACGAGGGCAACAATAGAAGATGATAGATGCGAATCTGGGAGATTAATTGTTTTGATCCTGGACGAGACCTGGGGGAAAATTAGCTCGCAGGGGTGAATATTCCGAGCACGTGGCTGAAGTGAACAAATTTCGTGCTCGCTTTCGGGGCTGCGCGTTTTTTCCGCTGAGTCACGGAAAGACTGCTGTGCACCTGTGTGTCGTGTTCCCTCCCATTACATTGTTTCCAGCGCCTCATTGCTGGGACGACTTTTCTGGATTATCGTCCCGATCACGCGGCGCCGATTGATAATTCCTGGGTCGTTCGACAAGTTTACTTAATTTTAAGAAAAAGGAAATCCCCCTTTGCGTGAAAAGTTTCCTCTGAAAACTCCTTCTGCTCGAAAGCGATAGCTATTGAATGCCCACATCTTCAAATAATAAAATACGTTCAGTAAATAGATTTGGGAGCTTCCTGAAGTTCTAGCGAACTTCCTTTGCATTTTTAAAATATTCTTCTCGAGAAGTCGGCAACAAGAAGATATTCTCTACAAGGTGGCTCGATTTTCGAAAGACCACGACATATTTCGTTTTATTGTGCAAAGCTTTTTACTGATAATTTTATTGCAGAGTAGTTGCGGAAACATGAATAGAACGTGGGCTTGGGGGAAAAGGCAGTTTCCAAGAGATTTTTCGGAGAGTTTCTGTATTCCTCCAGTTTTGTAGCTCGGTTTCCCAGAAGATTTCAGATTGATGCCTTTGTACATCTGGAAGATAATTTCCCACTAACGCGTTGTGATTACTGTATTCTATATCTAAACACCGCAATAGTAATTTGAGACTGAAATATTGATCTCTCTCCAAGCACAATAAGATTGCCTTCACCCGTTTCCGGAACAATGTCCGATGTTCGTAGTGAATATTCTTGGTGAAATGGCCATATACTTCGGGGAACATTCTTTCACTGGAGATTTACAGCGGTCCGAAGGTTAGGAAGAATCCCGAGATCATTTGTTAGATACAGAGAAGTTTCTGTTGAATTCGGTTTTCTGAAAGGAATCTTCCTGTCCTTTGAGTATTGGCATTTCTTTCATTCGAATCGGTGTCACTTCAGGCAAGGTTTCTCCTTGTCTGCGAATGAAGAATCTCGTGTTCACGTGTGTGCTACAAATTTGTGAAGCATTTTTCAGCGAAGCCCTCGAGGAGAGAAACCGAGTGTCTCCTCGCGGCGCGACAAATAATAACCGCCGGTGTTGATAACCTAGTTTCCAAACACCGGCTTCGATTAGCACGCGCGTTATTTCTCCGAGTTGCGTAGTAATTGAAAAAGACGGGGAAAAATAGAATGAAACGAATTCGGTCGGTTTCAAGCTTCGCCTGAGGCCAATGGCGGTGCCTCTTTTGAAAACGGGTGCGGGAGAAAATCCCGCAGGCACGAAAATTCCGCGGGAGCGAAAAATCTCTTTACTACGGCAATTTCGGCAGGTATTCTGAAGCAGCGCTGCCACGAATTTGACACGAATGGTTCCCACGAATTTGTTCATTTCAGCCGAATTCGACTCATTTTTGGTGAAGGACGGAAGGGAAATCAGCTTCCAAAACATGAAATGTACGCCTCCTCTAAAACCAGATTGTGACGCTGTGTTACTCGTTTATTCTTCTCACCATTTTCGAAATTCGTACTCTTGAATTCCACATTTTTGTATTTTGTCCGGGAGCATTTCAAACCCCGAAATAGTATATTTTCTCCATGGCTTATTTGTTGCTGGGAAGTCGTCGTTTGCCTTTTGTTGGTCGGATCAGATCTGAAATTTTTCCGGACTCCGCATTGTGGCCCCATGATCGATCAAATTCTAACGGGGAAGTATCGAGCTTTTGAGGTGGCGCCGTGGCTGGAAATGATTACTGTAATTATTTCACGAGAATGTGTTGCACTTCTAAAACTTTTCTTAGGCTTGGGTTTCATTTTTTTCTCTACAACTTTGTGAAGATGAAAGAGCAGGTATCCATATATTTTTTCATGCATTATTGTAAATTCTTAGCTTTCCCGATTTTTTTTTTCGACCTATCCGCGCGAAACGCTGCTTTAATTCCCCGATTTTTTGAAATTTATTGATTGGACGTTATGATCGAAAACAAACTGTTCTGATAATAAATACGATAGAACGTAAAGCTATTTTCGTGCTATGCACAGTATTGTACTTGAATGGAAATTCCTCGGCGTATTTGGATATTTGTATCAACACTGGAAGTGTGAAAGACGTTCTGGTTTCATGGTATGTTCTCAATTTATGCGGCTGTCGAATTTTTCCCTCATGTTTTTCTTTTGGATTTTGGGGGTAAATGCTGTAGCATATGCTCAAGTAAATATCGTCTTTGATTTAAACCAAGATGGTGATCGTCAATTCGTGTTGCTCACCGAAATAATCATGGACGTTTTACTTAATTCTTTCCGCAGAACTCGACGACTCGACATGGTCGACACTTTCTCCGTTGCCGTCGAGCGTGCTCGGCTCTCCATCAAAATTGCTTGCCGATCACTTCACAAACCGTGTGACTGGAAAGACATGCGTGACGAGCTCTTCCTCTCTATGCTCGTCATCGTCGACTGTGACGTCATCCTCATCGGCCTCTTCTTCGTTGGCGACATCAACCCTGACGATCGGCAAGGTAAAAGAGGAGCCGATGGACGCTGACGATTTCCTGGCTGCTGCGACCGCGACAGTGACGCCGACGAGGTTCAAGATCACGAATGCCGGTGGGCTGACGAGCAGTCGGGTCATCAGTGCTGCCTGCATCACTGGCGGCCCTCGGGTGTGTCGACTGTCGGCGGCCAATGTCGACGACGGGGAAGAGTCTGAACGCCGCCTTGTTCCCATCGTCGTGCACAAGGAGAAGGACTATGGCATTTCGAGGGTAGGAGCTCGACCGTCTGGTTTTCATTTGCTTTCTTTTGATGCCTGTTTGCCAAACGAAGACTAGGGGGTTGCCCTTATTGCAAAATATAAATCTTCCCGTTGAGCACCAGTGTTTGGTTCCTTCCGGGGAAATGTGGGGATTTTTCGTCTGAAAATTCCTAATGGGATTAAGAAAAAGTAATTTAACTGTCGCGGTTCAACTGAATGAGGTTGGGTTGCATGTGAGAAAATTTTCTACGCTAGTTATTTGAGCTTACTCCACTTCCCGTAGTCCCTGAGTTATTGTTGTTCTAGACTAGAGGAAAAGGACAAATGAAGATACGGTATCCGGATTATTTATCTCTGATACGCGTTTCTTCTGATAAGAGCTTCCGAATATAGCTTCAATTTTACTTAGATCTTTACTAAAGCAATTTTCGGGATTTTGCATAGAAAAATTTAATTCAAAATTCAGAACAATTTTCAGCTGTGAAACTAAGTAACTTGAAGCTAACTCAAGGTAAAGGCAAAAGAAGAAGTTTTGTTCGACTTGACCAATTACCTTGTCACATGCTGGTGTAAACTTTCAAGATATCAAGTTGTTCGTTAAAGACAAACAAATACATATTCAATATTCTTCTTTATGTACTGTATGTCCGTTAGCAGAAGAGATTTGAAATTCAATTCGTTTCATGGGCCTGGTCGGAAGAGCATATTTTGGAAAACTCATGTCGGAGTCGCTTTAAAAAGTATGTAGTCGATCATCAACCGCTGAAACTCCACTCTATGCTAATGGGCTGGAAAACATATGACGAAGAAATAAGTGAAATTTGATAATTTGGTGCCTGTGAAAAAAAATAAAGAACCCCTAGCTGCTAGAAGACACGCGTTATTTCAACGATCTTCTGTTATCCCTGTATGTCTAGTTTCCCGAATAAGCGAGCATCGTAGCATTAAACGAACGAAATACATAGATCGGATCTTGGATCCAATTTAGCGGCATTTTTTTCTGTTTAATTCAACTGATTTGAAAGGATCTGGTTGAAAATATAGCGTAGGATAGCTATCGCACATTTTCTCAACCAACCACTCCGTCTTCGTGAAGATCATTTCCAACCCCCTGCAGTAAAGCAATTTCTCTTTACCCTCTGTGACGGAAATGTTTCCGGTCGTGCTTGTTTGCGGCGACGTTGTAAACTTAGCTTGTGGGCATGGTTGTAAATGAAGCTGACTTACCACCGGATGGTTTTTTTGCCACCTGAAATGCACAAAGTTTCCTTTTCCCGTCTGCAAATGATCTTACCATAGATAGTTACGCTGTAATTCGGGGCGTACTTCTGGGAGCACACGAAAAAATAAAATAAAAAAGTCTCTGATCCTGTTTCAGTTGTGAAGGATTTTCCTACCGATTTATGCCGAGGGAAAGCGATCCTGTTTATTGACGAGTGACTTTTTAAAATGAGAATGTTTGTCTGATGTATTCCCCTATTTTCTTTCTTGCTTTTTCCATGGAACAGTTGAGGTTAGCACAAGGATCAACTGTACAGTGTGGATCACAAACGATTCTGCTTGCCACAACCTCCGGTAGCTCCAGTTCGGTTTACTCGACAAATGGACAAAATGTTGTCCTCTCCCAACCTCTGAACGTCAAAGTGGAGTCTTCTGGTGAGTGTAGACAAAATGCCTGGTTACACTTTCTCGCTTTTGCGTCCTGATCAAGGGAAACTGGAATTTCGAGCAATTTTTCCTTCTTCTTGAAAATTGAACCGTTGTTTGGTATGCGGAGAGAGGCCAAGTTGGGCTTTTTTTTTTTTTACGATTACGCAGCTCTTTTCCTCGGAGCATGTGGCCAAACGACTTTCCACTTCGGGATTCCATAAACCCTTGATTTATCATCTCCTCTCGGAGCTTTTCGGATTATGGAATGAGCCGTAGTCTCAGCCTTCCTTTCCTGCGGGGGGAATCGTTTGATGGCTGAGGCAAGTGGCTTTTCTGAGCCCGGCTTTGAGGTACTGGCATGAGTTCCGCGTCATGAATTCCCTGGCCGCCGCTGAGCATAATGACATTTCCGCCGAGCACAACAACGTTTGCCCATGCGCGGTATTACGACGAAATTGGGACTTGGGTCGGTGTTAAACCAGCCGGATTCGCGCTGAGTGTAATGAGCGTATGGGCGACTGCGTGGGAAATGCGCGGCGCGTTGTTTGTTTTAATGCCGGCTCGCGGGGAAACGACTGGGGAGGAACATCCCGAGTATTTTATCCGTGTTTTGGTACACTTCGATCCCCCGTCTGGTTGCCCGTTGGAGGGATGTACCTTGAAAGTCGAGCCTTCACGATTTTTTTTTCTTTTTCATTCCAACAAAATGTCAGCTACATTGCTCTAAAATGAACCACCATCGATTATGAGACGATCTTCTATTCCGTGTGTCCCAAAAATTATACAGGTTACTCTCCCTACAACAAATTTCATAGGGACCAAAAAATCGTTGTAGAGAAAATTTATTTGTATAGGACCGCTGTAATCTAACGCCAACCGGATCAAAAAATCGCTATGCAGAAAAATCGTCATAGACGAGATTGTTGTGGAGTGAGTCCATCTGAATTTTTTTCTTGCTGATTTAAATCACATCAAACACCCTTTCATTGCGTACAAATTCCTTCTAAACTCGAGAATTTCATTGATTTTATTCCTGCAGCAAATACCAGCATACAGTACTTTCCGAAATTCCTGACGGGAATCATGTTTCTTACTCAGTAGCCTGTTAACTTAAGGTGGGCTACGAATTTTTGCTATTGAAGATTGAGTTGGCCTGGAAAGAAATATACACTCCAGCTCCAAATGTAATTGCCGTTCCGAACGATTTAGGGACGATTCATTGATCAACGTGACTCCTACCAATTCGAATGCACGTATATATGCACGCCAACTCTCGCGTCTTTTGTTCGTGCATTTTCACGTGTTTTTTTTTTTTTTAAAGAAAAAAAAATTCGTCAGTGTATAGACTGAGGAAGGCAAGCTTGATACGATTACGAGTGCTGGAGTCGAAAACTTACCGTTCATCCCTTTGTTGCTTTAAAATCTCAGATCGAAGCACGAATCGTGAGGTGAATTTTGATGCCGAGCATGATGTGCCGAGAATGCACATGCCCCTGTTGAATGCGGCTTCGGTACTTACGTGTTGAGGCATCCCAAACCCTTTTTTAATTTTTGAGTTCAGTACAGTATCTTCACCGACTGCTCCAATGATTGCTAAATAAATAATTCAATATCACGCCCATCCGAATAATTCAACCTACAGTGTTTCCCCCAAAATAAGACCTGTGTTATCGTCATGTTTCGGGCGCGATAAGTATTGCCTTCTGGAATCGTGATGGCCGAGACCACACTAGAGATGAACGGAGAAAATTCAATTGCCAGTGGGATGATTATGAAAAGAGATTTTTGCTCGTAGTAAAGCTATTTATTTTCTCTTCAGTAACTGAGGTAAACGGAATTATTTTTAGAGATTTCAGTGATACAGCATATAAATCAACTTACGTATGCTCTTCGGATGTGGATTGACAGATGGTGAATTCGGGGGCACTGTGGGAAAGCTAGAAAAACTGTAAGTCTTCATGGCGAAAAAATTTTTTTTTTGAACGCTGGCTATTTAATTCTAACTGGTGGTCAATTATCAGTAGTAGCTCAAAATGTTTGAGTCGAGTACCGAAGTTAAATCGATACATGTTGTCAATGAGTTGAAAGAAAAGGGACCCTCATGTATTTTTTACACTGAATGCTGAGGATAAATTATGAGTTTAAATGTCAATCGGTTGAGACAGGAAGGGAAGTTTTATGCGCAATTTGTACGTCGGAACTCGAGCGTATAAAGCAGTCCCTAAATGACGGTATTCTGAGATTAATGTTTGCCCCCTAATTTGCGTGCATTGTTATGCAAAAACTGGTGAATAACGATATTCATTATGGAAAAGGAATGTATGGGTAAGTTGGTCGCTGTGTAGCTCATGGAATCCTTTCGGATTGTGCCATATCCTATGTTGCACTTTTGCAACAGTTCTCATGTGCAACTGATACTTCATCTTTTGTATATTAAGTTTTTGTTGCAGCTGCAAGTGAAATACAGTAGTTCATCGGATTGCCTTCGCAGGGCGTCGGCTTGTATCGGGGTTTTTTGAGAGGAGGATATTTACGAATGCGAATTCTGTATAGACCGTTTGAGAAATCGAAATGGGATATATTTTGTAACTTTTTATGCTCCGACGTTGACAATTTTCGGTCAAGTTTGATTGTGAAAACCTCCCAAAGAAATATTTTCATCATGTTTTGGTTGGGTCAGATTGAAAGCAGGTTTCACGATAGATTATTTAAAATTATATGTGTATTTGAAAATCCTTGGAAACATGCAAATCCCATGTATTTCCCTTGCGTAGCCCTCTTCCAGGAATGAATGAAGAAGTGTTCCATACGTTTGTTTTCTCTTTAGTTTGAATCCGTTCCTAATTTTCATGAAAAGGATTGATCGAAGATTACTAAATCGTCCGTTTTTGACACAAGTCTGCTGATCGTGACATTTTCTCGTCATTTTCACCGAAAATTTCAGAGTTAATTTTGCAGATAATCATGGTGAACGGACGAGGCATTCGGCGTAATGTTGACATTAGCACAATCTTTGTGTAGGATACTGAACATCAAATTCGACCAATGATTGTCCAAGAAAGACTAGCGAGATGAAAATTACAATTAATGCCGCGGTCAGTCAACTCGGCAGGTTTTATTTTCTGTGAAGGAAGAAGTCCCCACGAGAAGCAGCATGTCGTCTGCTTTATACCCAGTCCTGTAGCGTGTTAAAGCAGCAGGAGACCCAAAAAGCGAGAGAGGTATTTATCGCTTTCGCACGCGGCGATCAGCTGTTTATTTTATTTTTTATTTTTTGGCGGTATGAGGGAACCACGTGAGTCCTGGTGTGTTGTGGCGGGATCGGCACTCACCGAGCAAAGAACGATTCGTGATTTCAGGGCACACAAAAAACAATAACGCGCATTTTTTCTCCCCGCTGACGTGAAATTGCCGGGAGGGGCGGCA